TATTAGTTAATGAAACGTTTTTCAAAGATATCTTGGCGTTCACAAGGCCGATTTGGATGATTTAACTATCATTAGATTCATCTCGATAAGCTCTACAACTTTATTTAGAGACTAAAAGATGATTAACTTAGTATAAAAAAAAGTTTTCTTTAGACAATCACTAGAAAATTTTTATTTTCACATCTATAGTAATTTATATATAGAACTGCATCACGTTTCACTATGATCATTCTTCAGTTGACTAGAGAATTGTCAATTAATATATTACAGCTGTTCTTATAAATTCCAGAAAATCTGGCAAAATTGACCAACTGAATATTTGCCGATTTGTAAGTTTTAATTTAGCAGTAATTTTATATACCTAAACAAATGGCTGTAAAAATGTTACTAAAAGAAGATTAGCTTTTTTTTTACCTTGTAGGTTGGAATATCAATGATTAAAACTATTAAATTGTTAGCTTAACCATTTTTTACATTTTATACAATTAAATCATTTACTAAAAAAACAGGATTCACTAATATTATATGTATGTATATACACTGCTCTAGATATCAAAAATCTGGATTACATAGAAATCCATATTATCATTATGCCAACCAATTTAATTTGGAGACTTACATTATATATATTGGGTAAGAACAAAAAATTATATACTATTTCTTTAAAAATATACAAAATTATCTCGTTTTTTATTTAAAAAAATTTTTTTAGAACAAAATTTTAAGGTTTAAAATTTTTATATACACTAAATAAAAATGTACTTAATTAATTAATATTTAAAACACATTTAACATTCATGCAAATATACTACTTACTTGACCTTACTAAATACACCAAGTAGTAATTTATGTCTTATTCTATATTTTAATTTTGCTTTCGCTTTATCTTTAAGACCAACTTTTGTTCTCTGACTTAAAGGGCCTTTATTATATTCAAACCTTGCCATAATAATGGCCCAAGACATATTATACAATGTCATTCCTTCAGTAAGAGTGTCTAGCTCTAGTTTCGATCATCTTTTTCGACTTCGTGTTCTTATACTAAGAATTATAGTAGTGTTTTAATAGTAAAAATTGTCCTATAATATACTATACTTTTTCTTATAAATACCTGATTCTTGTAGGCTCAGGAGAGTACTTGTGAGAACATATAGAGGAGCAATCGTAGGAATATACAGGGGAGCGGAAACATATAGAGGAGCATTCGTGGGAGTATACAGGGGAGCAAAAACATATAAGGAGCATTTGTAGGAGTATACAGGGGAGTGAGAACATATAGGAGAGCACTTGCAGGAACATATTAGAGAGCATTCACAGGAATATACAGAAGAGCACTTGTGGGAACATGGGAGCATTCGCGGGAGACCATTCACAGAAGCATACAGGGGACCACTCATGAGAACTTACAGAGGACCACTTGTGGGAACTTATAGAGAAGCGAAAATATACTGGGGAGCATTCGCAAGAACATACAGAGGAGCACTCGCGAGAACTTACAGAGGAATGTTCAGGACACTCAGAAGAACATATGGTGGAGTCTTCGAAAGAACATTTAGAAGAACATATAGTAGAGCACTCAGAAGAATATACGGTGGAGCACTTAGAAGAACATATGATAAAGCACTCAGAACATATAGCAGAGCATTCAGAAGAATATATGGTGGAGCCGCTTAGATTGATTTGAAGCATATCGATATTAAAATTGATTATCTTTGATGTTTATATTACACATCAAATTTAGCTAAGCTTTTACAGGCAATTTATTTATATAAGCCAATCAGATGAAAGTCTGCTACGTGGCATTACCTGTTAGAGTGTTCATAAAATTGGTAAATCAAAACAAATCTGAACACGTAAGTACAAAATGTCAGAATAAATTTTACAGATAAGTATTAGATAAGTATCAGCAAAAATTTTTGAATAATGGGCCAAGAAGTGGCACATATCAGCCCAAATTACCGTTGTTCAAATAATGATGTTATCCTTCTTTTTTTTAGTTTGTATCACCTATGCAAATAAGTAAAACAGTACATATATCGATATATCTGATATTGTAATATAACGCATTCATATCTGATATTGTAATATAATACGATCAGAAACATTTAAAACAAACTAAACACCTACTGTATTTAATAACAGTAAATTATAATTTAGCTTGATGTATTGATTTTTTCCTATTTACTATTATTAATTGAAATCGTTTCTTTGGTAAATAGTACTTATTTAGAGTATATCTATTATAACATCGTATATGAGCAATGGTAATAGGTTAATTTATTTCAAAACATTGTTAGAAAGTTATATATAGGTTACATAAGATAAAATAATTTAATTAAATATACTAATTTTTTTTCTATTTATTATTATTAGTCGAAATTGTTTCTTAGTAAGTAGTATCAAGTATATACTTATTATGGCGTCGAGTGTAAGTAATGATACTATCATGACCATATATGTTATACTAGCAGAGTCTCTTTAGTTTGAGCTCACCAGGGCTAATTTATTGTATATTATTTAGTTTTATCAATGTTTTCATTAATGGAGAAAATTCATCGATCAAAATTGTTTTTTGATAAGTAGTATCTAGAGTATACTTATTATGGTGTTGAGTGTGAGTGATGATACAATTATGACTATATACATTAAACTGGCCAGAGTCTCTTTAGTTTGAGTTTGCTGGGGCTAATTTATTATATATTGTATGTATATATTAGTTTTATTAACGTTTTCATTAATGGAGTGAATTTGTCGAAAAAGTTGTTTAGCTTTGATCGATGTCTCTTGATAATGATTCAGTTAAACAAGATAAATATGTTGTTTATTAGTCTATTCTTTATAGCTGTTATCTTTCCCTCCACTTATATTTTATTAACTAAAGTTTTTTTTTCTATATTTTATCACTCTTTTTAGGTTCAACTATCATTTCTACATTAGAGAATTTTACTGCGGCTAATTTTTTAGAAAGGATATTTAATACATGATAAGTATCCTTCTTTTCTTTATTTTTACTGTTGTTTTATTTTAAGACTTTACTAACTGTTGCATTAACTTTGTCTAGCTGTTCCAGTATTCTGATTCTAATTCTGGATAATAACTTTGAAGATAAGGATTGACTTCATCACAGTGCTGGAAGTATTTTGTTTATTAACTTCATTATTGTTCTGCATTTTATTAAGGGCTTTACTAATAATTTACTCTTTACTTTCTAGATATTTTCATTCTAATCTTAACAGAAATTTAAATTGTACGGCGATAAGGCTTGAAGTATCACATTTCAGTATGTTAGAGTCGTAGATGATTTTATTAATAATATCATTCTCTGATTCATTTGATGGGACATTGTTAATTATTTTACCATCTTTTATAGAAATGTATAACTCTTATTACTGTCGATTGTTCAGGTTATTTTATTCAAGTATGTAGAATTTTTAGAAATTCTGTCTATGAAATATGGAAATAAGGTTATACTCAAGATGATTATCCCTTAAACTGTAGGCTTTTCCAGGCAAATTTGCTTGGAAAATTATCATAAATATTGTTATGATCTACTTTTTTTAAATTTTAATATAATTAAATAAAA